AGGAACACCGGCAGCCCCCAGCATTTCTTTACTTTCAGCCTGTAAATCCTGAAGATTTCGAGCAGGTGTCTCTAAGAAACGGATCATATTCCTGAGATAATCCTGTGTTTCTGCTCGATTAAATATTCGATAAAAAGAGAAAAGGATTCACCCAGCACGTAAAACTTCCCGTCTTCTACCTGAGACTTTATGCTGTTTTCCTCCTGCTTTCCTGTTGAAACAAACATGAGCCAAATATCGAATGACAAACAAAATCCATTTTACATCAAGAGGCCGGTGAGTAGAGTTGTTTTTGGCGGCCTGTTTTAATTTTAGTTTTAGTCTAGTCTTTGTGTGAAGCTGTCATTTTAGTTTTTATTAGTTTTAGTCACATTCATACTCTTTTTAGTGTAGTCTAGTTTTAGTTGATGAAAACTGATGAAATTTTAGTCTAGTTTTAGTCAATGAAAATTGTATTTTAGTCTCTTTTTAGTAATGCAATTCTATTTAACCCAGTCAATATAGTATAAGTACCTAGTAGTATAGATGAAACCAAACGTTTCTTTGAGCCAAACCCATTTCAAACAAGGTTACCTTATTATATTATTGTTACCTTATAGACTCAAGAATACATCCAATACACATTTTGTGTGATTTTGTGGCCACATTTCTCCCCATCTTTTTCCACAACACATTGTTTTCTTTTCCACTTCTGGCTGGCCATTGGTCCCTTTCTCTGTACCAGACTTAACTTTGTTTGTTGTTGTCTTCTAAATAATGCCGCAAGTGGGGCTTAAGGAAGTGACGTCACCTGCGTCTGCGCAGTGCGACCTGATGCGGCCCCTGAAGCGAGACACAGGAAACAGAAATACTGCAAAATAATAATAATAACGCGACTGAACGAGATGAAATAACTTCATTTTCGTTGACCAAAAGGAGATGAAACGAAATGTTATGAGACTTTTGGCATAGTTTTTATTTTGTGAACCACATTTAGTTTCGTTTTTTTCGTCAACAATATCGCATTATACATTTAGTTATAGTCATCGTCACACGACCAGCATTTTCGTTGCGTCTCGTCTCGTTTTCATCACTTGATAAAGGTTCGTTGACGAAATTTAGTCATAATTTTTGTTGACGAAAGCAACACTACCGGTGAGTGCTGCCTTGGGCTGCTACGACCCCAGGCATTGACCTGCAGTGACCATCGGGTCACTGCAGGAGCAACAGGCCGAGCTGAGCGCGGCTCCACCACCACCAGCTATCCATGCTGGCACTTTACTGTCCTCTTATAGAGATTTGTTTTTGAACCGGGTTT